GTGTATCGACGGTTAATCGCGTGCATCGATGAGTCTTTGACTCATTCCATCCACTAGAACTGCGAAATGTGCGTAATCGGATTGATACGTCGTAACTGAAATGTAGATAATCTCCGACTGGAAACGGTTTCAACTGTAAGAAATGTAACCAACAAAGTCTCCACGGAGAAATGTTCTTAGTGTTACGATCTTGTGAAAAGAGAAGTCGGACAAAAGGACAGTTTCGGTGGCTTGGATTCTTTCGCATGCCGCAACGTTCACGGTCCACGTTCTCTTTCTTCTTGGAACTCCGAGGGGGAGGCGGAAAGTTCTCGGAATTCGGCACAATGCGGCGCGGCGCGGCGCGGCGCGGCGGCTGGGGCAGGGGCAGGGGGAGAGGGCTGAGCGGCCGGGTCGTGCGTGGGACGCTTTGACCCCGTTGCGAACGCAGGCGGCCGCTGGAATGGCAGGGACCCCACGTTTTTAACGCCTCCCTGCGGATGTGCACCCTCGCCTGAAATATTTCCGTGACACTGGTCTGTTATCGACTTAACGCAACCGAAAAGAAGGAAAAACACTTTTAACGGCCAACCTCTGTTAAGGATTTTTCGTAATACTCTCCTGCTATTATAGTATCTGCATAACGCAATCCAACAGAGGAACGAAAAGGTAATCTTAATGGCCAATAACAGTTAAGGAGCCAAGTGATCTTCAAACTATTTAGTAAACCCTTTATCAAATCATTTTTTTTTCTATCATACAAAAAAATGTTAGCCCCCTGGATTGCCGAGGTCGCTAAGGCTGGAGCGCCTCGGCTCGTAGGGTCGCGGGTTCGAATCGTCTCGGGCCCGGATGTTTGAGCGTGTTAGTGTTGTTCCAGCAGGTCCTCGTACGGTTAAAACAATCACAGTAGTCGCTATATGACTAAGATGTTAAAAAGCGAGCTCAAGAAATAAATTAAAATTAAAAAGGTTGAAATATTATTGGCGGTGAGGCCTCTGACCCTCCCCCCTCCACTGATCGCGTGCTACACGCGTGGGCGTTCACGCGAGCGTGGGCGCTCCAGCGATGCGGGACGAGTGCGCGCGCGAAAGCGAAAGGGCGGGGCGGGGAGGGCCCGGCCCCCGAACGGCCTTCGCCATTGGCAAGTCCGTTTCATCCGCTGCAGAGCCTCTGGCGCAACGGGCTCCTCTAGCGCTCGGAGGCAGGGAACGCCCGCGCGCGGCCCACCGGCAGGCCTGGGGCTTCACCCTAGACAGACCAATGCTGCATCCAATTCAGCAAAGAGAGGGTAAAGCCCGTCGCTCGTCAATACAGAATAAAGAAATGTAGTCGTAGTATAGCGTGATATTGTACACGAGTACCGCAGTACTCGCACAGTATGTAAAAGTAGATATTGGATGTTGATATTTTTGGATTGGATATATGATATTTTGTCGAACGTGTGGCATAGAAGGGGCGAGCCCTTCAATTTGTTCACTCTCGGATATGCCAAATTAATTTGGTGGTAAGGGGACGTTGCCGATGTGTAACACAGAAACGATTCGCATTTATTTGACGAATGTTGCCCAACTTGCGCAGGGCAACCGCCTCTTCCTGCCCCTCCCCTACACACGCGCACACACACACACACACACACACACGCGCGCGCGCGAATCTTGCGAGTCTGGCGATATGTCGATCTTCCATTCTCATTCTCGACGATCTACAATACTTTGATTTTTCTATAGTGGCCGATGACATTAGGTTATTGTTACACTTCCTGTCTTATAAAAGGAATCTTTTTTAACAGTGGTAAGTACGTTTCTGGGGCCAGGAGTCCCGTTGAGAAGGGTGTTCTCGAATTAATTTAAAAAAATTCACTTTAGGCAGGAGGTGTAACATCGCCATCGGCCATAAATGGAAGTACACGAGGCGATCGGCCCGCGAGCGCGGATGGGAACGGGGTGGGTGGGTTGCGGGCGGGTGGCCGGACACCTGCCGGGCGTGGCGTTCCCATGCGTTCCAGCGCGTCCCGCGTCAGGCACTGGCCGCTGCCGCGGCGGCGGCGGAAGCTCTTGGGCCGTTGACCTCCGCGCGGAGAGCCACGCACAGTGGTCTGCAAGGGGCCCCAGCGCGCGCACTCAGCCACAGCAGCGCGCCATTCGCAAATGTTGTCGCCTTCATTCCGGTGAATGTTCGGCTTGTCGTGTCGCTATATACCTCTTCATATTTATTATTAAGCGGCAGGCCTACTTTGCCTGACTGGCTTATGTAATAATTGCCACCCCAAGCCCTTCTTATGTGGAAGATAAGGTGGCCGGGTGTAATATTGCACACAGCCTGAAGTAACCCAAGAGGGTGGTGAAGGTAGAACTCCACCTGTTCTTCACCATCGGCGCGAATTGTGTTACAATGACTATTCCACTCGTGGAATTAAAACCGATAGTGTTAAACTACACTTACAAAATGCCCCAAGCAGGGGCATTGTATGTATCACAAATAGTTAATCGCTTTTTCTATCCTATTTGTCTTACCGCTTCTCCCTACTAGCCGATCATAAACTGACTCGTGTGTCTTAGGTGGTGGTATAATACATCGTTCGCTGTATCGCATGTGAGTTAAACTTGGCTTTCAGTTATTTTCAATATTTGGAGTATTTTGGAAATCTGTTGGGCATAATTTCACTCATGGCATAATCGTATTAAATACTTCTTATGCTTTGGAAATTCCCAGAGAAATCTCCTCCTCACGTCGCGAGCCAAGGATTTATTGTCAATTTCCAAAGCACTCTTGGAAAAAGCTATGATAAAGGTGCCCTCGCGCATTGGGGATGTGGCCCAAGGGGGGGGGGTGAAGGTAGGGTTCCGCTTATTCGGCGCGAGGGGAAGTTGGGTGGCGAGCACAACCCTCCGGCCACCTCCATCCTGGTACTTCCTTGGTAAGGAAACTGATGCGACCCCAGAGCCACCCGTCAGTTGTAGTTTTTGGTTGTTGTTTTTTTAACTGACCAATTTCTTCGTTCCAGAAGAACAGGGTTTTTTAGTATCATTTGTGAAGTATAATAAAATATTTTTCACGTAGGCTCACGTTTGTGCTCGGTTCAGACCAGCGTGCGTATCTACGGCTTGGCGCGCTCTACCCTACCCTACCC